TGCTAGGGCAAACTCACTTGGCCCGAGGCCCTTTAACAGGAAGGAGGGCTAAGACCTGTGCCCATCCCTCCCCCACCGCATGGGGCTCTGCTTTCCCTGCAGGAGAAGCTCCTGGAAATGGAATAAAGGCCCAGTCGATGGCGTAGTGACCTGAGCCTGCACATGCACCCTGGGTGGCCTGCACCTTAGAGCTGCTGGTAACATTCTGGCTCCTTCTGGGTGATACAGTTAGACCAAGAGGTCGTCCTCAAGCACAAACAGGCTGGAAGTTAAGCAATCGTGTGAGTAATTTTTAATAGCATTCAAAGCATTCGGGAAAAATAGTAGAATCAAAACAAGAGAAGATTCTAGAAAAAAATTTAATGGTTAAAAAGTTCTGCAACAAAAGGTAACACCTTCTTTTAAAAGTGGACTTCCCTTACAAAGCATTAATACGAAATCTAGTTTGGCATGCATGCAATAGAAGCAAAACATAGTATTCTTTCAAATATACCGATTATTGACCCATTAATTTTATATTCTATCAGCATGAATCTTCATAAGAGTCACACACATTACTGGACAAAACCATCATGCAGAAACAGGCCAGCAATGCACATGTGATGCACTGGGTCACCAGGGTTGTTCGCCCAGCACATGCTCCCCTGAACACCCTTGGACATCGAGGGGCTGCCTTCCCACAACTTGGACCATGTCTGAGTATTTATTATAAAGGAACACTTTGCCGAGAATTTTTTCTCAGTTTCTATAACACAGGAAGTTTTTTCTTCCTCATTAAATAGCTTCCAAGACATCAGTGCATTAACCCAAACATGCTGACATCAGAAAGCAACTGCTGCCTTCTGTCTTGAGTGACATATGCATGTCGACGGCTATGATTACATGCTCATAGGGCGATTCAGCCTCTCGCTTGCTTTTGAAGACCTAGTCTCCTTCCTTTGCTTTTAAACACAACTTGTTGGCATCATGTGTCCAATCAACTGGAGAACAGAAATAAACACACTGAGACAGTTCTCCACTGAGAGACGCACAGAATCTGAATTGTCTCTTAAAAACAACAAACAGGACAAGCTGTTTGTCTTCAAATGTCCATTTAAGAATAAAGAGGATACAACACACTCCTTTAACAGAACTTGGCGCTGTGGTCTTCTGGTCTGCAGATGGAGGCAATGTCTGCAGGACATTTCCGGAGCAAGACTGCTGGTGCCAGGGTGCCACCAATGACTTGCATGCTCCAGTGGGAACCACTGGACAGGAGCCCAGGTCAATAGCAAGATGACAGCTTCTTCTTCTCTTCAAACTGCTTGTCTACTGCCAGAGATAGGGCCTGTAGGAACCCCTCGATGGTGACGGTGGGGGCCTGGAGGGATACACAGTCATCGTTGGGGGTCCCTCACTCTTGGTGGGGCCACCTGGCAGCCACCACCCACCCTCAGGGTAGGCAGCACAGAAGGGGGTCACCAGCACGGGCTGAGCAGCTGTCCAAAGCCACAAGCGCCCAGGACTGGCCTGAGGTCTAAGGCAGGACGTACGGACATGATGTCCTGCAGGTGAAAACAGTTGTAGGAGCGGGCAGGGAGCACCAGGGTTCAGTTGCTGCACTGAGAAGGACGAGAAGCTATGGGAACAGACCTTGGAGCCCTTCCCAAGGGGTCCACCCTGCGTACTGGGTGTGGGGCCCAAGGACTGGCTTATAACCCAAGAATAACTGTGACCCCATGCCTGGAGCTGTCACCTTCCTGCAGCAAAAGGCTCCCACTTCATGGGCCATGGTCCCCTTGGTGCCCATGGTTGTGTCCAGCACATAAGCTGTTCCTGACCTGACAGAGCTTAGGTCACCTCTGATTTGAAAGGAAGCACCGCAAAATGTATGTTTTCTCAGATGTGGGTGCCTCTGCCCTGAGCCAGACACTGAGTCTCACCCTGCTTCTGCTGGAGAAGGTGGGGAGGGGTGGGCACCTTACAGGGCGATGTGTCTGCAGTGGGGCCCAGCACCAGGTGGCTAGGGGCACAGGTCCAGGTTGCGGCTCTGTGTAAGCTGAATGCAGACCCCAAGAGCAAGAGCTCTCAGGCCCCACATGGAAAGACATGGGTGTGAGTGTGCCTGTGTGTGGCCAGCGCCTCCCCATGAAGGACTCAAGATAGTCCAGCTGTAGGGGTCACGCCAGCCCTCCTCCTGCCCAGCCCCCTGGCGCACAGAAGCTGAGCTAAGTGAGGCAGACACGCGGGGGTGTTCCATGGCGTTCTCACGGGTTGGGACCCGCGGACAGAGCGGGTGCTGGATAAGCGCCCAGGGCGGAGGATGCCACGGCAGACCCACCTGGATGAAGAGCGCATGAGCCAGGAATGGCAGCTTCCTCAGGACCCGGCCGCTGAGGCCCTCACTCTTCCTGCAGAGACACCACAGTTCAGTATAAGATGGCCACATGCTTCCGTCCTGACCTCCCTTGTTACCAAGAAGCCTGAAGGGATGCCTCTGGTCCTCTGGCCCTGTCTTCTGGTCCTCTGGCCCTGTCTTCTCTGAACACCCCTTACCCCACGGCTCCTTGCTGGTCCTCTGGCCCTGTCTTCTCTGAACACCCCTTACCCCACGGCTCCTTGAGTGGGGCTGGTCTCCCTGGACCCCAGCTCCCGCTCTGTGGAATGTGGCACTGCCCGGGAGCTCAGGTGCAGGGCACGACGCAGCGGGCACGTGGTTGGCCAGCACGGCTTCCCCATGTAAAGGGCTGGTTCAGCCTCCAATGCTGGCTGAAGTCTCTAAGCTGTTCTCTGTCCCCAACTTAAGCAGTTGAAATCTCCTGACCAAAAGATCTAGGCTGTTTCCGAACACTACGTTCTCCGTGTCATCCCTTTGCTTCAAGCTCTCCACGCTCCTTGCAGCTTCAGAATCCAGTTCCAGCTCCGGCCAGAAATCCAAGGCTCTCCCTGCTCTGCCCTTGCCCCAGCACCACCCTGAGGGCCCCTGGGCATGCTCCTGGTGGCCTTCCAGACTCCGCTCAAATCCAAGCTCTGTCCTTCAGGGCTCTGCTCCGCTTTCCCACCTCCCTTCCCCTCCCTTGACCATCAAAGCCATTTCCCTCCTCCCGACTCCACCAACATGCAGGAGTGGGTCGTGGACCTCAGCACACACGCTAGCTGTCCCTCAGCGCTCCCGTGTGACATCTCTTTGAGGGAGGTGGCTGTGCCATGTGTCTCTGTGCACACACTGACACACATGTGCACACACACGTTCGCCTCTGAGGTGTGCCGAGAGTCCACATCTGCAGGCCTCCCCGGTCTCCCCAGGGATGACACCAAATGGATCAAACAAATGAAGTCAAGGCGCACCTTGAAATTTCGCTCAAGAGCAGGCTCAGTTTCGACACGTTGTTTTCGATGAAGCCGATCATCTCCAGCTCTCGGAGGGTCAGAAGCTGCTGGCGAGGGTATATGATCTGGCACTGAGGGACAGAACACAGGCAGGCGTGAGTCACAGCGCTCCAAGACCTGTGCCACCCCCGGGGAGAGCACCACAGATCAGGGCCTGCTGCGTCATACAGAAGCTCAAACAGTGACCACATGAAACGCATGGCTGCATCAGAAGAGAAGCTTCCTCTCTCCCACCCTCCCCAGCACGCACAGCTGCTTCTCTAAACACAGACGCCAAATGAATGACAACACACATCCCAGAGGTGAGCAGCGGCCCAGCCTCTTCCAGGTTTTTTGGCTAAAACAACTCCTCACGTCAGTCAGTGTCCAGTCTGTCATTTCACTCTCAAAGACATATCAAAGCCCATAGCTGAAAACAGACACTGGAGACTCAGAAGGGGGAAGGTGGGAAGGGGTGGAGGGATGAAGTATCACCTCTCAGGTACAGTGTGCACAGGTGGGGGTGGCACCCTTGAAGTCCAGCTGCCTTGCCACTACAATGCTTCCTCCTTGTAGCCAAAACTATCTGTACACCCTGAAGCTACTGAAACCAAAAATAAAACAAAAAACCACAGATGGCCAGAGCTGGGACTTGGAGCCTGGACCCCGAGTAACTTTAAAGGAAGGATCCCACTGTGTCCGTTTTGCAGATGAGACTTGCCTAGCAGTGTCACACAACAGCAGCTGACCGACCAGGCAACAGGGCACCAGACATCCACCTCACAGGTGAGCTGGCTGAAGTCAGAACCTTTGCCGAGTAGCCTCACCAAAGTGCCAGGCAGGCAATGACTGTTGGGATGACTACATTCCGACATGAACTGCTCAGATTCAGGGAGCAGGAGGAGGAAGAAGAGTGTGGCCTTCTCTGCCCCTTTTGGAGGTGAGCCAAGGCTGGTGTGTATTCTAACCTCCCTGCCCAACTCACGAGTGATACTCCTGCAGTTCCCGGCAGACCCTGCGTCTCTGCGGCCTCCTCAGGTCCTGCCCGCCCCTCTAGTGAAACTCGCCATCCAGCAGATGCCCTAAGAATGGTGCAGAGAGCAGGCTCCTAACAGTGGGGGGTCCTAGCTACATGCCAACAGCTTGCAGGCCCAGACCGACATGCACTGTGATGTCTGGATGTCGGATCCATGAGACGACCCCTCTTGCACTCTCAGCTCCCAGAAGTCCATCCTGCTCAGCTAAGAGTTGAACACCCCCTAGACTCACAGTACTGGTGTGCAAACTTGGCACTGGGAGGGCTGGAAGCCACCTCGAAGGTGCGAGAGGACCTCCAGCACAAACGACTCCCTGCGGGATCTGCTATTGCAGGGTGCTCCTGGGCAGTAAAGCTGCCTTTAGAACCTTCAGAGCCTTGTGCTCTCAAGTCCAGTCTCCACAGAGCTCCTCACCCTTTCTCCCCTTACAGAAAAGCAGGATAGGGTCACATGACTGGTTAGTGCAGCCCAGGGGCAACCTCAGTGGGTTCATGGCGGAGCCCAGTTCTCCATCTCCAACCAAAGGTGGCCACGTCATCCTTGTGGAGGCCCCACTGTGGTGCCAGGAAGTGGCTGCAGGGTGGGTAGGTGATTCCATCTGGCCAGCGAGTGGCAATGCCCAGTTAAACGTGTCACTGTGCAAGCCCTCAACTGCTGGTTTGCGTGGTTACTGTCCAACTCCCCTATACTCAAGGTTCAAGGCATGCTCCTGCGGGGTGAGGGCTTTCTGCAAGGACTGTGCCCATACTCCTGGAACACAGTTCACGGTAGGTACCTGTCATATGGAGTCACAGACATTCCCTGTGAGCGCTGTAGTGCTCACTGCTACAGTGCTCACCACGATCATCAGAAACACCTGACCAAAGAGGCTCTGGGAACCCCGACCTTCAGTTAGGAGACAGCCCTGTGACCATGGCCTTCAGTCAGATGAAAGCCCTGTGACCCACTTTCAGTCAGAAACAGCCCTGTGACCATGACCTTCAGTCAGAAGACAGCCCTGTAAACTCCGAGCTTTAATCAGGAGACAGCCCTGTGACCATGACCCTCAGTCAGATGACAGCGCTGCAACCATGACCTTCAGTCAGTAGACAGCCCTGCAAATTCTGACCTTCAGTCAGATGTCAGTCTTGTGACCATGACCTTCAATCAGATGACAGCCCTGTGACCCCGACCTTCAGTCAGAAACAGCCCTGAGACCCCTCTTTAAATCAGGAGACAGCACTGTGAACCCTGACCTTCAGTCAGATGACAGGGATGCAACCACAACCTTCAGTCAGATGATAGCCCTGTGACCATGGCCTTCAGTCAGATGACAGGGTTGTGACCATGACCTTCAGTTAGTATAATCTCCCTGTGAACTATGTCCACTCTTCTCCCTCTTCCAGGTAAGCAAATCTAGGTGCAGAGAGTCAGGTCATCTGCAATGGCTGTGGAAAGCCGAGAGCCAGGATTTGCCTCGCAGGCTAAGCCCAGTTCACTCACTCGCCTTCTCAACACCGGTCCCTCAAATAAAGAAAAATGATTCCCGCATTGTGCCCAAAGAGCAACAATCCTGAGTTAGTGGCCATCATGTTGCCTATTAGCGCAACATGCCAGATACAACAAAGCTATAAATTTCCATGTTGGAAGCAGGTTAACGCCCATGATGAAATATTTACCCTAGGTCAGACCCAGCGTATCTGAAGTTCCTCCATTAATTAAGCACATATAAGAAATGCAGATCAGGAGGAACAAAGAATAACAAAGGTACCTTCATCAGTTCTTCCAAACACGAGAGGTAGATTTTGAAGATGGCTGCCGCAGAGGGTGGCCCAATGTACTGCTTGATGTCAGCCCTGTCCACAAAGGCCACATCAATCTTTTCAGTGATGTTGGAAGTAGTCAGAATCACCACATTGGAATGTCTGTTGCGGCCAAGAAGCAGGGGTCAGTCACCGTGTGTGTCAGTGACTCGGTCCTACCCCACGCGATCTGGCAAGGGACGGTGGCAGAGGGACAGCCAGCAGGGGCCAGAGGTCCAGCCAGCATGGTTCAACCGTCCATGTCTCCGTCACCGCCACTTGCTGACGAGGCCTGCAAGGCCTGACCGAGGCCTGCCAACCTCTGAACCTCCCCTCCCCACCCCTCCCCGCTGCTGGGCTCTCCTGGCTGCAACCCACCCACACAGGCCCAACCATGCCCACCCCAGGGCCCGTGCTGTAGCTGGTTCCCTGCTCCTGGACCTACTTGGCTTGTTCCCGTACCACGTCCAACCTCAGCAAAGACCTTGCTTCTGCAGGTGGCCCTGACCGCCCCATCTGCTATGGCCTCCAGTGCCCAGTACCCTGCCTGAACACAGCCATGAGCCCGTCTCCACACAGCACACGTGACCCCACCACACTGTGGAGCAGAACTGCTCATCGTCATATTCACCATGTGCTTTCCCCTCCAGCTTGGAGCCCCACAGAGAGCCCTGTTGCCTGCTCTGTTGACCCTTGGCCCCCAAGGGCCCAGTATGCACCAGAGCAGGCACAAGGTGCCCCTGGTGGACCCTGGATGTAGATGTGGCAGTGCTGTACCTGGGCACAGAGAGCACCTGGGAGGGCTGACTTTCCCTGGACCTGGCGCAGGGGGTACAGCCCCTCTGCAGGTGAGCAGGGTGAGCTGAGCGCAGGCCGGGCAGGGAGTACCTGCGACCCAGGCAGGGCGCAGGGTATGGAGGCCAGGGGACACACACAGGCTGCTCAGCCCAGCACCGAGTGTGGGGTTGGAGGAGGGACCAAAGGGGGTGCAGGGCTACAGATCATGACCTTGGGGTTGACTGTCCTGGGAGCACAGAGGGGAGTCCACGCAGGGATGCAGGAGCAGAGAGGCGTGGGGGGACAGACTGAACATTGAGAGGGGCCTAGACAGGAGCGGGAGGCAACGTGAGGAAATGAGGGTGCAAGAGCCCAGAGGCAGGCGTCTCTCCCTGTTCCTTCAAGCCCACATGCCCTCGAGACTGGTGGGAAGGGAAGCGAAGGTGGCCCACCCTCTGGCCTGAGAGGCAGGTGCCTGGCGAGGCCATCCGTGTAATGGCAACGTGGGGAAGCTGGGGCCCTGGGACTGAAGCAGTCTGGCGGACTTGGGCACCTCAAGAGTGATGTCTGGCCACAGGTGGATATGCAGACCTGAGACTTGTCCACTTGGAGCTGTGAGCTGTGCTGTAGGTGCACACACCAGGAATGTGCATACAGGAGAAGGCCAGGAACAGGCCGTGCAGCCCCGGCTAGAGACAGCAGGGGTTGCCAGCAGAGAAAGGGAGGGGTACCAGGGAAATAGAGGCGGAGAGGCACAAAGAGGCTCAGGGAAGGAGTCATCAGGGTGCCAAGTGCTGCAGAAAGTTCTAAGAAAGGAAAACTGAGCACTCATGAGGATGAGGGGGTGGGGCAGATGCCAGATGGTGGCAGACTGAGGAGTGGGGAGGGGAGGGCAGTGTGACAAGGTGGGTCTCCACCGCTGGCCACTTGCTCCAAGGGAGAGGGAAACAAGGGGTGGACAAGACACGCCCCTTCCCAGACCTGCACCCTCCAGCAGCACCAGGAGCCACACACATTTCAGGAAGCCAGAGTCAATTCTCTCTGGTGACAGCGGTGATGGCTATCACCCCACACCCAACTGGTCAGCCTCTGAGAAGGCGCTCTAGCCCAGGCACCCCGAAGGCAGAATGAGCCCTTCAGAGGAGAACCTGAGTCTCGGTTGGCAGAGGGGTTGCTGAGGTGCCGTGGGACAGATGGAGTCTGGTTTGGACACCACTTCCTCGAGAGTACGGTTGGGAGCCATCACCCCTGAAACCCAATGGTCTTCGGGTATTCTGACAACAGGCTCTGTCCTGCAGACACTGACCTCTCCCGTGAAAGGGTCTCTGCCCAGGGCCCGGGGCAAGCAGGGGACAGCCCTTCACCACAACCAGAACTGTCACTGCAGATGCCAATTTTACTCTATTTTATGTTCTTCTGGGCTGTGGGACGTTTATCCTATGCCCGAGTTTGACTTCACACCTTTAGTAGCCAATACAACAAGCAACACGACTTCTAAAAGCTGCATTTACTCCCTGCTGCCTCCAGCATGGAAAAAGAGCCAACGCTCAGCGCTGACGCAGTTTTGGTCACCAGGGCTGGGGAGGAGGACCAGAGTCAGCAACGGCCACACAGCCCAGAGTCAGCAACGGCCACACAGCCCTCTCCTCTAGCATGTCTCACACAGTTACTATGTGCCAGAGTGTTACCTTTTAATCTGGTCAATTTGGGTCAAGACCGCGTTGACCACACGGATGGCGTCTGAGGGTTCAGTGCCCGCCCTGCAGGCATTGCGGGCAGCCGTGAGACTCTCCACCTGTGGGGACAAACAACGGGTCAGCAAGGACCTGGCGCCTCATGGGCAGCTGCAAGACGTGAGCCCTGGGCGAGTGAAAGTGAGAGTGAATGGAGCACCCAGCCTGGACTGGGCATGCCGGGGAAGAGGTGCTCAATGCAGGAGAGCTGCAGCAGCCGGCCCAGTGAGAGGGGGGCCAGAGAGACCCGGGCACAGGCTGTATACCACCAATGGTGGAGACGCTTCGGCCAAAATGCCTACCTCATCAATCAGCACAAACACCAGAGCATCTTTATCGTCAATCAAGTCCTGAATCTTCTGGAACATCTTGGTCACCAGCTTGCCACTCTGGAACCAAAACACTCTATTAGTACCAACTTGTAGGGACCACACTGCCAGGTGCACGCGGACACCTGCTGTGGCTTGTGCCCCAGTTGGCCCCTCAGAAAGTTCCCTGAGTCAGAGAAGCCAGGCAGCATGGGAGGAAGTCAGTCTAAACGCCTCTTCTCTGTTTCAAATGCCAGGATGCTGAGACCTGAGCCTGAGCCTGCCCTGTCCAGGTGGCACTGCACTGGTGACCCACCTCTGCTCATCCATAAATGCAAACATGCAGACGGGCTGGGAACCCTCCTTACAGGCTCTCCCTGTCTCCAGTGTGTTCATGTCCTGAATCATCTCACCAGAGGGACATGTGGATGCCAGGTGCCTTAGGTGCAGCCCTTCAAGTAAAGGGCACCCATGATGTCCTCTCATCGGTCACTCAGTTCACAGACACCATCTGAGCACATGAACATCAAGGGCATGCTCGGCAGGGATGTGGTCCACGCGAGAGTGCCAGGTCTGCCCTCCTACGAGTCCGTCCAATGTACCATGCGCCCAGGCAGAGGTCTAGGGAGGACCAAGGGAGGGCCTCGCAGGCCTTGGCTCTGGAGCCTTCTCTGACTACAGGTGGCCCACTGCTCACATCCCTTTCCACCCCGCTCTCTGCTGCAGCTTCTGGAGGAGGCCTTGCCTGATACACAGGACATGCGTCCTCTCCAACTACGTGGCTGACAATCTAGACAGTCAACGTTAAGCTGTAACACTTACCTCTGAAAACCACTTAGAAAAGAGGCTGTGGCTGTTTATCTCAATTAACTGGCCGTACCGGTACCTAAGATGATCAAAAGGGAGTTGGGAAAATTACTTGACACAGCAGTGCCACAGCATCCTCAGTGGCAGGCACTTTTGCTTCTTTAACATGGCATTGCTCACCTGCCCCAGGCTGGTAATGACCAACTCACGAGGTCATGACCCTCACGGACAGAGAATCATGGCGCCCAGTCCTCTGTGTACTAAACAATTGCCAACACTCTAAAAGATGCAATCAGTAGCTCCTGACTATATTAATTAAGTTTTTCCATAGCCTCTTCTGGGTTAAAGAGCTAAAGGTGGCCCATCTCGTTTTTAATCTACTTACAACTTAATTTCTATGCTTAAAAAGTATTGCCAGGCCGGGCTCGGTGGCTCAGCCTGTAATCCCGTGCCTTTGGGAGGCTGAGGTGAG